ACAGCTGCCCATTCACATGCAAGCAATTATACACTGACTGGTTTGTAGGGGGAAAAGTAAAAACATGAAAATATTTAGTAAAACAAGCCTTGTCATCCAAAAGCTACTTGGAGCTCTCTAGGTTTTGTGTGTACGGTTTGGTTCTGCAAGGCCCATGATTAAGAGCAAAGGAGATGCATTTGCCTGGTTGTCTCCATTTTGCCAAGTACTGAATTTGCCATCATAGTAATTGCTGGAATGCAACGTTATTGCCTTATTGAATCTCACGGTAAGGAGTTTCCAAAATCTACCGCATAGAAAAAGCAATACAAATATAAATTTAATTGAATGACTAGATGTACTATTGCTAGGGGAAAGGGAAATGTACCTTTGCTAACTGGCCATTCAGGGGAAATCATAAAACAATTACAGCTACTATGGAATAATTTAGGAGACTGAAGGAAGATTAACGGGGCTTCATCTAATATAGGCAAGTATACTCTGGATTCCTTACTTACATCCCAGGCCTCATGTGGATCATTGTGAGCAAATTAGAACAGTCTCCTTACAGATTGTGTATTCACTATCCATCTGATTTTCAAGCAAACTAGGTTGTATATTTTCTGATGGCAATGCCAATCAATTGCCAAATTGATACCGAACTAGTGAATAGTGTGTCTATTATTACAGTGAGATCCAACAAATACATGTGATATACACACATTGAAAGTAGGTGGGTTTTAGAACGTTAATACAGGTGTGAGGATAATATCAATGTAGCTGATTTGTAACCACCATTTACAAATCACAATAGTATGTTTCAATGTGACTAGTCAGGTTTACATTGGAACTGGGGAGGAATATGCTTAATAAAGTAATATGTAGATATATCCTATGCTTTAAAATGTGTTGGAATTCTCACTGCTACTGTCAATCAACACTTCCCAAGATGCCCCTACAGACAGTGAAAAACTGATTTTTATATTTTGTGTTTGTAACTTAGTCAATAAAATTATCTCAGAGTAAACAAAAATCTGTATGCTGTGTATAACAATGGATCAAAGTGTAAAACTAATTATAAATTATCTTGTTAAACTGTACATGCGGTTGTGCTATAGGTCATCATATAAATTAGTGGAAAACTAGATATATAAAGACCTTTAATAGAGGTTTCTTGCCTCCTTTAGCACAAAATCAGTATTTTACATGAACACCACTAAAAACACTTGCACATAGAGAGGGATATAGAGATTATGTAGAAAGATAATGCACAAGAAACATCTAAGTTCTACTTCCTTCATATTCTAATAAGTGATCATTCCTCTTTAAATATCTGTAAGAAAAAGAAGCAGAAGATGAAAATGAGTAGTTTTACTTCATGATAAGAACTCTAAAACACACTGTACTGAATGAATAGAACGTGGAAAACCACGTAACGTGTCAGTGTCCCGTGATAACTGCAGAACAGAAGCGAACTTCTACATCTGTTTGCTAGTCCTCCCTGTCTACAAACCATTCCAGACCACACTCCAAACTTAAAATGCCTGCTCTTTTCTTTATCAATGGACTGTTTAAATAGTTCAGTGTCCGCCAGCTGAGGTTCCAAAGAATTTCCCAAGAAAATGGTAAATCCACGTCTTCCAGGGCATCGCAACATCAGTGACTGAGAAGTAAGATACATCCTGTGAAACACTGGACAAGTAAGGAGCCCAGAAATGATGTTGATTCAGCCTACATGGCCTTCATGTCTAGCAGCAGTCGGTATTAATGAATTTCTTCCCTTTGTTTTGATGGAGCCCTACTAGTAACAGATTGATGAATTGCATTTGTAAATATCAGGCATAGATCAAAGCAGGCTACCTTAGACGCTTATTTTTACCTCAATTTATAGTTTTCCACCAAGAAAACAAAACTGCATTATATGGCAAAGTTCCTAATTTTTGCTTGAATTTTCAGTGAACAAAACAGCTGCTGAATAATGCTACTTAATGAGGCATCTCTAATAAAATACTGCAGACTTAAAAGTGGAGCCACTGAACTGTTTGTATTCAATTGTTTCAGCTCTTCAAACACAACAGAAGTAACCACTGGCACTTTGGAGAGTTCTTCGTCTGGGACATGCATGACAAATCTTATTAGTAAATGTCCATCAGTTTGCAATTTATACCTCAACTTGAACATGATCTAACAGTACTGTTTTTGGAGAGGCATGATAAGAAATGCCAGGTAAATGCTGGAGAGGCAAAGATTATCCTTCCTGTACAGGGTAAGCCATAAGATTCAGTTGATGCTAAGTCAACCTTAAAAATGTACGTTGCACATTTCCATATGAAAATGCCGTTGAAGATGGCCATCAAAACACTATACCACAAACATTAAATCCAGGACTACTAGATTTTTTTCTGATAAGGACAAATAACTTCTCTAAAACATCATATCACCCCAAAGTTTCGTCACTTTATAAATTTTTAAAAGGGAAAAGTGGCTCTGTCTAAAAATAGACCTTGCTTTACAGCCATGTCATCACATTTTATAACTTGGTGGTTAGTAAATACTGTAATGCAGATAATGCAAGGTCTAAGCAGACTGTATCCATTTTGACTCAGGTCCACAAGCCTCTTTACCCTCCAATTTGTCATTGCTAAAGTAGCTAACGTTTTTTCCAATTCAAAATTACACACGTGCACACACACCCAGAGCCCTCACGCTCCCCTCCAGAATAACTTGTAGCATTATATAGCATATATATTTGCTTTGACACAAAGGTCTCCTGACTCCCCTTTAAGAAGCCTAAATCAAATAGCACTGTATGTAAGTATGAAGCTAAGCATGCCTGACTACTGTTTTTAAAGGCAAGAAAATAACCAAGACTTTCACCAGTTTTTTTAAGACTTTCAGTTTTTCAAACGTCGTTTTGAATAAAGCAGCACCAGAACTATGTGTGGTGCGTGCTTCTTACAAGGCTCCCTGTGCCTAAGTACTGGGTTTGCAAGGACAGCGCTCTCAAAACCGTAGGCATATAATACAACCCGGCTGTTTGCACTGGAAATTGGGAAAATTGGAATAAAAGAAGCTTCAGTGTGGTTACTGATGGCCTGTAAGTGGTTACTGATGGCTTTTTAAATTAAGACTCTAAAAAGGTCAAGATCCAAACAATTGACTGGAGAGATTCCTAACAGCATGAAGTAGGAAAAAAAATCAAGTATGTCTGATCTGTTATTGGAAATGTACGGATGTTAGGTGCCGATTTTGAAATCGTAAAGGACTCACCAGTTTGGGCATACATGTGCAAACATGGAAAGGGAAAAGACAATATCCCCCATGCTCTCATTCTTTAAACTGTCAAATGTATGTTTAATCTTTTTTGCCAGTAATCTCTTTTATTACTTCACATGGAAGCCTTAAATTAATTACTCAATTGTCTTAAGTTACCTCGCCTAATAGAGCAGTTTAAAGGTGCTAACTGATAACAGTCTGAAGGGTGATGTCTACACCAATCTGGCTGGACAGACAGGAACCAGATAATTACCAGCCAGGTGACAGTCATTGAAATTCACCCTGTCCTGAGAACCTGAGAAGGACCCTCAGACACTGAGTGATTTGGAGAGGGTGCTCTTCAGAGTAAAGGAAAAAAAAAAAAAGAACACAGGTTTGGGGTTTGAGATGAGCTTTTGTTTGTTTGTTTTCAAACCCAGGAAGGACTTTGAAATTCAAGAGGAGGTTTCACACTCACAAAAGGAGGGTGTTTTATCCTCTATCTTTTTGGCTTGAGAGGAACTCATCAAGCACAGGGTGAGAGAGGCTGGTCACTGTGGTAACTACACATTCAATTCCAAAGGCTTCAGGCAGTTGTTTAACACTGACCAGGAAGTGGAATACTGGACGGGAGAGCATGGTCTCCCCCAAGGGCTCTTGGAGAGCCGATGGTACCTCCTCCAGGGGAGACCGGATGGCTCAGCCCGCAGCTCCAGAACAAAAAGGACGACGGACCTCAAACTTTGCCTTTGCAAAAGCAGTTTCTGGAAATGTGGCATTTGCTTACGAATGGCAAAGAGCCATTCATCGTCTGAAGACACCTCTTGGTAGACACCTAGCCTTTTAGAAAGGGGCGGGGGGGCAGCAAAGCAGGTGGGCAGAAAAACCTGTGCTACTGACAAGATGTGGAAGACATCTGCCCAGAAAGAAATGAAAAGCCATTAGATTAGTCCCCCGCCCCCCAGAGCTGTGCCTTTTTTTTTCCCCCTCCTGAAAGCTCTTCATTGAAAGATCCTTTACGAAAAAGCTCTCTTGTTGTAGCCTTTACAAAAAGCTGTTTCATTCAGTCATAACGAGTCTGTTGCCAGAGCGAAAGGAACCTTTAAGCGGGTGAGGCTCCGGAACTTACGAACGCGATTCTTGATGGAAACAGTTAAAGGTAGAGGAAGCAATAGCCCCACGGAAACGCCCACCCGCTGCAGACAGGCCTGAGAATTAACTAGTCAGAAGTGGACAGAAAGTAGGTATTCCAGACAGGCGACCTGCCGCGTTCCGTGGGCCGTCATCCGTCTTCATTGATTTCTCCCTTGATTGCGAAGCCCCCCCCCCACACACACACACCCGTCCTCCCCAACTCCTCATGAAAAGTCTCAAATGCTCACCAGCCAGGACTGGTGAGCGAGCCAATTAAACCCCACCTGGGTCCTCGCCTGGGTCTCTCGCCTTCTGAAATAAGAAAGGGAGGGCCCTGCTCCCCAAGCCTCCTGTCATGGCTCTGTCCCCCTCCAGTGGTCCCTCTTCCCCACCCCTGTCCTCACCGTCCGGGGCGGGGGGGAGAGGGAGTGGGGAGGGGAGGGGAGCGGGCTGCGGGACCGCATCTACCCTCATCTTGGTCTCCCGGGGCGAGCTCGTTTCTGCCCCGGGCCCTGGAGGAAGCCGAGGGAAGAGATGTGCCCCCGCGGGCTGCGGGGGCGCACGGTCCTCGCGTGGCCACTGGGGTCCCCAAAGCCCCCGGGAAGGTTCCCGAAGGCGCGGCTCGCACCTACCTGCAGCCGGGCGTCCCGGTGGCGGCAGCACCTAGCGATGGTCCTGTAGCTTCCGCGGGCCGACGCCAGCCTTACCGCTCATGCATCGCTTCGGAGATGCCGGTCCGCGGGCACCATCCAGGGGCATAGGGACCTGAAGTCCGCCGGTGTGTGCGAGCGAGTGTGACCCCGGGTGCGCGCGTGGGTGCTGCCTCCTCCGAAGGCTAAAAGGGGGCTCCGCAGTATCTTTCACATACACGCTGGGGGGGGGGGGTCCCCTCCCCGAAGCAAGTGGGAGGTGCAAGCGCGCGAGGCCGGTCTCTGGTCGCTGTTCTTTATCCCACAGTGTCAAAGTAGTCAAAAGGTTTGTTGACCCAGGAGGGGTGGGAGGGGAGAAGCCAAAGTCTCCGCAGCCCCCGGCGGCGCCCGCGGTCGCCCCGGCGGTCCTCGGCGATGCGCCCGGTGCGCTCCGCTCCCGTGACTGCTGCGAGGAAGATCCAGGCGGGCTCCAGCCAGCAATCGCCGCTCTTATTCCATCTCCCGATTTGTTTGCTTTCAGCGGCGAGCGAAAGACTTTTTTTTTTCCCTCTCGCCCCGCGTCGTCTCTCCTTTTCACACACGCGCGCGCTCACACGTCCCACCCCCACCACCCTCCTCGCCCGCCCTCCCCCGGGTTCTCTCTGGGGAAAGGCAATTGGACGCGATGATTCACCTTCAGCAGAGCAGCCTCCGCGGTGCAAAACTCCTCGAGTGCCCCGGTTCTGCCCGGATCGGTCAGGCTCCGGTGTGGACCGGTTCTGAGCAGGCTGGCCGGCCAGCTCTGCGCTCAGGCTCAGCCGCCGTCCCCTCCGGCGAGGCGTCCGCGTTCCCGCAGCTCGCACACAGGTCCCCGCCGCCGGTGCCCTCTCCTCCGACACCCGGGCGCCGCCGGTCGACTCCGAGTCCACTTAGCAGCAACTCCTGGCCAGCTGCAGCCCCTCGACCCCGCCTTCCAGCGCAGCCGGCCGGCCGAGCTCCTCGCAGCCCACCCGCTGCCGCGCTAAGGCATCGTGTGCTCCGGGGAAGGGAGCCAACCCTCTGCTGTCCCCCCCAGCAGGCACGAGGGCGCGAAGGTGCGAGTTCCAGCCTCAGACACCAGCGGAGCAGGTGTCGCCTGCCTCCGTGTGTGTGTGTGTGTGTGTGTGTGTGTGTGTGTGTGTGTGTGTGTGTGTGTGTGTGTGTGTGTGTGTGGCCGCTGCTTCTTCGCTAAAGGCGGGAGTGAGAAAGAACGGAGCGAGGGGAGGGGCCCGGAGGAAACAAATCCAGATCACCAGGAGGAAAAAGAAGCAGCCGAGAGCAATCAGAGGCTCCTCCTCTCCGAGCCCCACCACGAGCGTTGTACTGTCCAAAAGACACTAGTGATGGTGTTAGAAAGTCACCCCAAGCGGCAGAGCCCCGCTGGTCCACCCTAGAACCCCCGGTTCCACTCAGCTGGCTGACTACCGCATTAGGGGCGACTGGTCCCACTGTGCCAAAAACACTGAGCAGGCAGGGAGAGATGGGTTCTGACTCTCCAGGCTGGGTTAAGCAGTAAGATGGGATGACGGGACCCGGAGGCTTTGGACTCCCTCTCTCTCTCTCCCTCCCACTTCTGTCAACAGTGGCTGCAAGCTGTTGAGGGTACAAACCACCTTCCTGCATAAAAACACAGTGAAAAAGACAGGGCAAACGCTGCAAATGCTGGACTATGTCTCCCTCTAGCGGGAAAACTGAATTAGAACGCTAGGCTGGCTAGCCCCGGGACTCTACAATTTTTTTTTTTTTTCCCCTACAAATAAAAAAGAAAATCCTATCCGATTCCAGAGAATTTGGCATTTCTACAACTTCCAAACGCTGATGGATTTAAAGGTAAGATTTTTCTGGACAATCCCATGCCAGCATATTCATTGCTAAAGGAATCTCCTGATGTTTCCAGAAATTTCATAGCAGGACCCTAGAAGGTCATGTCCTTAAGGTTTGGCCAAACTGGGTCTTGTTACAGTGTACCTAAGATCCCGCAAGCAAAGCCTTCTTAGACTCAGCTCATTTTGATCGTGCTTACAAATGACAAGACTTTAAGCTAGTGGTTAGGATAGCATGAAAAATGAGTAAATAAGAGACTTAGACACAAAGAAAGAAAATGCTGACTCGGGAGACCTTAACCAATCCTTACTCGAGGATCTTGTCTTTAATTGACTCCTCTTGTTCAGTTAGGTTTATTTTTCAAGATGGCTAAATTCTTTCCAGGTCTAAGTTTTTGTGTTTTCATAGCCCTGAATCATTGAAAGATTAGCATAATTCTTTCCACCAGCTATAAACTAGTACTTATTACCATATTTACAAAGAACTAGGGAATATGTTTTGGTTAATTGTTTTATGGTAACATGCTTAGTAATTTAGCCATATTTCCTATCTAAAGCATTTCAGATACTTAAATTAAGTCGGGAGCACTATGTTAATAAAGTGTTCCTGCAGATTTTATACAAAGGTTTTGTTGCATCAGCCAAGATTAAAGTGGGTCCACCTGTAACTTTGCTATTTAGATTTTGTGAGCCTTGTAATTTAGTAGGATGCTTGCTTTACTGTATTTTTAATTATAGAATGTGTATTTAGGTTATGATTAAACACTTTTCCATCCATTTTGAATTTTTGTACTTATTCTAACTTGACAATTGTGCTTAGCATAGTCTTAAAGAAAAACAATGACTTCCTTCTGAAGTAATTTCAAATGAGAATCCAAAACAAAATAATAGAGGGTCTTGAATTTTAATAGATCATACTGCAGTCAGTTTGAGACACTCCAGGGCATGACAACCATTTGTTTCCTACACACCTTCAAATGACCTCTTTCAAAAGACCATCATCCCTTGTTATTCAAGATTTTTATTTTATCTCAATCACATGGTAACTCGTTTCCTGAGGGAACAAAGTTTATTTTTTTTTAACTACTTGCCACTCTTCCATTGCAAATCTTACAGTAATTTTCTCTCCACTCTGTTCAGCAGTCACAGATTCCGAGCAAGAATGACATGAAAACTCTGGATTCTGCACTAGTTGTAAAAACATCTCAACATCACTTCAGAATATTGGCCTTCCCCCACGAGGAGTAAAAGACATGATTTATCATCTTTCTAGTTTCTAGTTCATAGGGCCTTTGTGGTTTCATGAAAACCTGTGATTTTTTATCATATTTACTTACATTGTTAAAACATGGGATGTTTTATTGTACTTTTTCCAATTTAGCCCACTGTGTTTTTACAAGCATATAAAAAAGTAAAGAGAATAAATGTATAATTACAAAATACAAGAGAAGTTCCTCGTCTGTGGTTCCTCATCCAACACCTAATGATGCTGAAATTCTCTAACACCTTTGTGCTCTCTGTAAACCTCCAAACAAATAGATCCAAATAAATTGCAGATCAAGGTGTTGAAATCAGGACTCTGAAACAAAATCTTTTGCATTCCTTCCAAAAGGAACAAAATGGCAAACACGCATCTTCTTGAACAGAACTCCAAGGTTGATAATCTACCACCTATTTAGTTAAACTTTCTGCCTCTCTACTTTATGGAAGGGAAAAAAAGTGATTTCTTTAAATGCTGAATTTAACTGAACTACAATTCTATCATAACTCATCAAGTTCTGAGAACTCACAGTGTTGTTACTACAAGTTTTCTTCGTTCTGCCTTTAAAACTATTCTCCTGAAGAACACCGGACTACAATGGCCTGCCTAAACTACAGATTTTATAAATTGAATCAAGGGGCATGTCTTTTCCCCGCAGCTTCTTTCCATCAGCATAATTACACTGCAGCCACAGAACAGCCCTGCCTTATGTCTGGGTAGTAATACTAAATATTTGACGGGCGCCTCTTGTGTTAATTCCGGTTTGGGGATACGACAAAGCCACTAAGGACATCCGTGGAGGACTCCTTCAGTCAATCTGTTTTCAGTTCTCATAAGTAAAGATCTAGGAAGAGAAAGGCTGTGTCCTGTGGCGGGGTAGACTTAAAAACGAACGCTGTTTAAGGTCGGGCACGCACCGCTGCACACTCCGCTCAGCTGTAGTGGAGATTTTAGGAGCGAAGGCTTTAAGTGCCTGGTAGAAGCTTTATAGGTTATCTCAACCTGCATCTCAAATCCTCACAACATCCAATACAACAGATGAGATGAAGAAAATGAGATAGCAGGGGGCAAACCAGGCCGGCCAAATCAAAAGCGAGGGGTCGATTTTAGTTTTTTTATGTTTTTATTCAGAGTCTCCCCCTGCCCTGTTTGTTGTCCCTTCCCCCAACCACTAAAAAAGTCTGTCTCCCATATGACAAGAACATCGACATCATTAGGACCTGGATTCTGAAAAGGCCACTAACAAAACGTGTAAGAATGCAGATCCATCTCCAAGGAAAAGAGACAGAAAAAAGGAGAAGAAAAAACAAGTCCCGATTCCCCTGTGTGTGTTCTTCTGGGCATCGTGATATTTATGAGAATGAATGTAATTCAGGTTCCCAGTAAACTCGTAAAGCAGGCAACCTACAGGGCAACCATTCGTCGGGTCCTTTCTTACTTCTGTTGTCTCCACCCTATTCCCGTCTTCTCTAAAGATGCCTGGTGGGTACCAACTCCAGACCTTGCCCATGCTCAGCAAGTTCTTTATCACTGAGCCACGCTCCCCCGGAATGTTTTTTTTTTTTTCTTTCTTTTTAGCAAAACACAGTGCCTTGCCAAGATGCCCAGGATAATGACTATAGGGCCCAGGCAAGCTTCAAATATGATCTGTCTTCCTCATCCTCTCTAGTGCCAGTATTTCTTGCATGTACCACTACGCTCAGCTCAATTTCTAGGGATTAAGGGGGTTTTCCCACTTGCTGGGATTGGGGGGGCAGTCTCACTATATAGACCAGGATGGCCTTGAACTCCCAGAGATCCACATGCCTTGGCCTCCCGAGTGCTGACATTAAAAGTATGCACCACCACACCCGGTTTAATTTTTTAAATACATTGTTTAAACATTTATATCATTGTTTTATGTAATAAGGGGGATAGACAGAAGCACAAAACTCACTCTATATACTCCAAAGTGACACACATACATCGCTAACTTTCAGTCTCCCTGTAGGTAGCAGAGTGCCCAACACACGTAACAGACCACACATACATGCAGAGACACGAGTTCAAGACCAGAAAAAAAAAATGGGTTGCTTCACAAAAATAATGTGGAAAAGGCACTGAGATCATACAATTGCCCTGTAGTTGATTTGGGTCATATTTCTGTGGTTGATTATCTATGTTCAGTTGGAGCTCAGGTAGGAAGTTCGCCTGGACTTCACTTCGCTTCTTCAGCCATCCAGCAGTTCATCTCCTCTCTCACTGTGTGGCAACTGGCTGAAAAGAAGGAGTGTTGAGAGTAACTAAGCCTTTTAGCATTTAACAGACTGGTGAAGACTTGTAAAGCTGTGTACCAGTAGGGGAAACCTCGAAGCCAACGCACTTTCCAAGTCTCTGCTGGAATCAGGTGTGTTAACAGTTCTTGGGCTAGACGGTTCACAAAGCCATGCCAGGCTCAAAGGGTAAAAATCTCCGTCTCTTGATGGGCAGAACTGCATAAGGACCTTTTGC